CAAACACTTGATTTTTAAGAGGTCTGAAAAGAAAAGAAATCAATGTGATTACAATTTGTTGGCATTTTTTTGAGTCTTGTTCTTCTTATTTAATTAAACATGTCGGTGGGGTCCTCATTCCTTCAGGAACTCAAGACTTAATCTCATACCACAGGAGAAAGGTTGTTCTCAGCATTCCTTGAGGACATTATTTTACCCTGTTCCTGAAGTCCTTCTTCATATATCTAAGGAAGTAACCCACCATCCATGTCAGCAGCATCTCCAGTGACCCTCTTACCCCCAAAGTCTGAGGGTTCTGGTCAAGGTTACAGACTACTGGAAGCTGAGGCTGCCTTCTGTTCCCAGGGTGGGGACAGCAAGAAACATGCTACTCTCTTTGATGACAGACTTGCACAAAGTGATAGGCTCCTCTCATGGGTCTGGAAGACTGCATGGAGGATGAGCACAGAATGCAAAATGCACAGAGGCACGTGGTCTGTTTTAAGGATAGACAGAACATTCTGGGGTGCTGGTTCCTCTGAAAAGCGTTGATGTCACATCTTATGGCATACCACCCTGAGTGATAAGTATGAAAAGAAATGGCTTTTGAATCTCTAGACAGGGTTAAAATGAAAGAAATCCATTTGTGCCTTCAGAATGCAGAGCTACCGGTACAAAAGGTCACTGACGCCAACTGGCGGCATCACAGACTACGGGGAAGGAGTATTAAAATAACAAAATTGTTTTTTCAGGCACTAGACGCACTTAACTCTCAATCTTTTGCATCTTGCTTCCTGCAGCCCTAGTCAAAGGGTATGTGGGGGGAAAAAACACCAAAAATTTCTCATGTCCTACATGGGCCAGCATGCGGATTGTTGTCCTCAGATGAAGGATGGCAGATTTTTAGAGTGGAGCAAGAAAAATGCTTAAAAAGATGATTCAAGGAATTATTCTTACTAGTTGTATATGTAATGAGTCTTCTGAACAGTACTGGCTGAGTGTGGCCATTTCAGGCAAAACTAACAAGTATTAATATGGGACTCACTCTGTATTAAATATCTGTCTGGGGGTTTAGTCTTGGCTGACTGAAGCCGACAGGATCTTAGGGAAAGAAGCAGACCTTGGATCTAGGATGGACAGGTTGTAGGATACCGCCTTATGCGTATGATGGTAGAATAGCATCCAAACAGACTGAGAAGACCTGAGAGCCATATGCATAGATATGAGACTGGAAGGGCTTAATACTAGACTGTTACCATTGGTAATGACAGCAAAGGAGTCCGAGGATCAGGAATCAAACTTGTAGGGAATTCTTCACTTACAGATGATAGACTGAGAAGCCAGTGAAGAAGCAGCAAGAGACACCATCAGGAAAGCTGGAAGGGCTCCCAGAACCTAGGCCCCTCGTCGAATCAAGAGAATTTTTTCAAGGAGAGGGGTTCTTTGATATTAAAAAAAAAAGGAGAAGAAATAAAAAAAAAGAATAAAGGATGAAGGGAGGTGGGGATTGGTGTTGGATTTGCAAAATGAAAATATTGCCTGGGAAAAAAAGGAAGTTTTTCCTTTTGAATATACTGGATAAACTTTATTCCACTCAGAGTTTCCCAACCACGGAACTGTTGACGTCTGGGGCTGGCTAACTCTGTGAGAGGGAGCTTTCCAGTGTATTGCAGAGTGCTGGTAACACCAGCAACACAACACACCAGTTGTGCTAACCAAAAAAACTCTGCAGACATTGCCAGACGTCCCTGGTTAAAAATCACTCATTTAAGCCAGGCAGTAGTGGCACACACCTTTAAACCCAGCTCTTGGGAGGTAGAGACAGGCGGATCTCTGTGAGTTCGAGGCCAGCCTGGTCTACAAAGCAAGTTCCAGGACAGCCAGAGCTGTAACACAGAGAAACCCTGTCTCAAAACACTCTCCCCACAAAAAGAATCACTCATTTAACTTAGTGTTTTCTGCTGTGGTCTGTGGTACTGCGTTAGCACTGCCAGACATACAAAGTAAAACGTGCTAACCCTTAAGAACAATGTCAAGGTGCTGGGGAAACAGCTCTGGAGACAAAGTGTCTACCGCACAAGCCCAAGGACCTGAGTTCAGATCCCTGGCACCCACATGAAAAGCCAGACTCTGCACAGCCAGCTTTAGAGACCTAGAGTGGGGAGGACCCCTGGAGCTGAACCAGTGAATTCCAAGGTCAGTGTCTCCAAACTGTGAAGGTGAAAAACAATCAAGGCTGACATTCAGCATCATCCTCTAACCTCCACAGGCTTGTGTGCATGCACACACACCACACACACACACACACACACACACAAACACAAACAGGAACATATATGCACACAAAAGAATGTATTCTAGGGCCAGTGAGATGTGTCAGAGACCCAAACCTGATGGCCTGAATTCAATCCCTGGAACCCATGTTTTAAAAAATCTAGATGTAGAGACTTGTTACTATAATCCCAGCACTGCTATGGTGGGATGGGAGGTGTGACTCTAGGCCCAGCACTGCTATGGTGGGATGGGAGGTGTGACTCTAGGCCCAGCACTGCTATGGTGGGACGGGAGGTGTGACTCTAGGCCCAGCACTGTTATGGTGGGACGGGAGGTGTGACTCTAGGCCCAGCACTGCTATGGTGGGATGGGAGGTGTGACTATAATCCCAGCACTGCTATGGTGGGATGGGAGGTGTGACTCTAGGCCCAGCATTGCTATGGCGGGATGGGAGGTGTGACTCTAGGCCCAGCACTGCTATGGCGGGATGGGAGGTGTGACTATAATCCCAGCACTGCTATGGCGGGATGGGAGGTGTGACTCTAGGCCCAGCACTGCTATGGCGGGATGGGAGGCAGAGGCAGGAGACTCAATCAGAGCTCGAATGTGCAGCACAGCATT